TTTTTATTAAATTCGCAAAACATTCGTGTTGGTCATGTTTCAAAACGATGAACTATATTTTCGATTATTTAACTTTGATACATTGGTACATTTGTGTTTGTAAAACGGGAGCGGTGATTTTATGGCCTACGAGGTATTCAAAGATTTTCAAAATTTTTCAATCGATATTTTTTATTTAATTTCTTTCAGTTTGAGAGGACCAGTAATTGGATGACCACAGAAATAGACGAACAGAAGGAGGATATAAATGCAGTAAACACTTTTCATATTATATTGAAGATTTTTAATCAACTCTTTGTCGTCATGACATATTCTACTTCAAACATACAAATATAGAGGTTAACCATTTGTAAGCAACAGAAAGTTTCGTGTTTTACACTAAAAAAAATCGCTCTCAACATTAAAGAGAGACAAAAGAAACCACAGGACATTCATGTTAAACAGAATCATATTTATTTGATCAGACTACACGAAGTTTTAAGTTTTGTTTCTCGTTAACAATTTTCTACTTCTTAATGTTTTTATATAAGAAATGTGAAAGTATTAAACAGGGTGTCGGAGAGCAAATTGAGAAGCAAAGTAGGGTACATGTAATATATGAATTATGATATGAGATGTATGAAAACATAAAGCACCAAAACTATGCAAATTTCTGATCGCTCGCTTGCATAAATTCTTTTCCTAGATTTTTTTTAATTCAAAAATAATCTCGCTCGTTAGTAAAAAATTCTTCCGCCTACCAAAAATTAAAAAAAATAATCAAATTTCGCTCGCTTGCTATCCTTTTTCAAAGGAAAGAGTCCGAAGAACTAGAAATTAACTTGGTGTGGCCTAGATGTCTTTTTAACGAATTTCGAATCGTCAGTTAAAATTGCCTGATGTTTTATTACGGGCATTGATGCTGAACAAAATATAAAAGCGTTTTGTTTCTACTCATTGTTAGTTATGTAATTAAGTAACTAAACCAGAGACTGATCATTACTGGAGTTTAAGGGCGACGGAATTGTACGAGTCATTAAAGGCCTTTGAAATACCACAATATAGTAAAGTTATTAAATTCTTGCAAAACATGCTAATCTTATCGACAACGAGGTAATATTAGATCACGAAGTTGACGAGCATTGAGTACCCAACATTCCAAAAGGTTTTGCCAAATACAGTTAAGGTAATCTATAAAATTAGTGTTTTGTATAATGTATAATGAGCAACGGTCTTTTTTAAAAAGGTCAGGATCAATAACTTCGTGTGAGAGCGCATAATAGATATTTGCGGAAACTGTCATACACCTACGATTAGGATTACAATTACACTTGCAGGTAGCATTTAAATCTTGGGTCGTTTCAAAGTGTAAATATAAACCGTCGGTTCAAAACAAAGACTAACTCCTATGATGTTTTTCTAACGAGATCAATTAGAAAAATAAAACGACAATTATCTTTCAATGCAATGAAAATATAAAGCAGATATATATTCGTCTTAAACATATACTGGCCCGTGTTTTAATAAGTGATCCTAGAAATCTTTCAAGATGGTTGAAATGCCTTTTACCGTCAGGCACCAAATGTTAATTTTCGACTATCATTAACGACAACTTGATTCAATTTATATTGTGGTTTGTCAAATTATCCTTATTTGTCAGAGGTCTCAATTATTTAAACTTTACCGTTCTAATTGGAAAACATATACCATGATTCGTCAAAATCAGTTGATTCTTTTTTATCGTCATAATGAACTCTATGTTTCTTTGTGGAGTTTTTGTGGACTTTGTATTTTCGTCGTTTTTCTATTGACCATGGTGGAGTCTTTTTTCCTTGACTTATGGGTTCTAAATGCCCCTTTTCATCGTTTCCTTGTTTAAAAAAATAAAATTAACCTAAGTTTCATTAAACATAATTTTTGTACATGCATTACATTTTTCAATTAAATCAAGAATTTCCAAGCATAGACCCCCCCCCCCCCCCCATATTCTTAAAGCACTCAGGTTGTCTTTTTAAGTACACGGATGTCTGTTAACCCCATTTTATATTTAATGTAAGTCAAAAAAACAAGTTTTTTAAACGATGACTTTTATTTTCTATTTCTTTAGAAATAAAGTAGTTAATATATGTTATCAAATAAAACTATATTACACCATTTTTGACTTAAATACTCTTTGCTTGTAAAGATATTTGAATGAACACGAATATTAAATGGATCCGATTCTTAATCAAACACATGACACATCATTTATAACGAGATATTTTTATATTTTATTAAGAATAGATTATAAGCTGATATTTTGATAAAATCGCCAACGTGATATTTAATTACAACATTTGTTATTAACGTCAAGATCTAAACGTTATTGTTAAAAGAAATCACGCACTATTTAAGTCGGTTAGGGAGCATTTGCGGATACAAAAGTGTAATCGTATAAAAGATGTACGACTCCCAATTACTATATACCGGCCGCTTTTGTAAAGCGAGTAGAACTATTAATACAGAAAAATTAATAAATTATAAGTGTATTTCGTGCATTTATTATATTTTTCCCCGTTATGGATGAAGAACACAGGTTAACCATGTCAGCATTACCTGCCCTGATGCAGACTCCACCAGATGTAAGGTACACATGTCATTCGTCATCTGATTATAACCCTGGTAGTCCTAGCTTGACCACCGACAAACCAATCTTTTACAATCAGGGAAATATTATAGGCAATGATGTATACTTTTGGAATGGGAGAAATGTGTTCACTTGTTTTGCAATCAAACGATATTCCTTTTACCGGTCACACTCCTGTAACGTTACTTTAAATTGTAGCCGATGTTAATGGTCTCTCCGGACAGATAACCAGTTGGGATCATAAGCTTTCCCCGGGAAACACAATTCTTCTTTTATGTTATGGTTACGATCGTACCTGTCTTTTCATATGATTTCTGAAATAGTTTGACGTTTTGACTACCAAAGATGAAACACATACATGTATACATATTTCAAGAAACATATAACCACCTTCTTTGGGTGATTGGCAGAACTTACAAGGTGGGTGGCCAAAACTTCCGTTTGCAGTAGAGCTATAGACGGAAAGTTTGTGGCCGATAACGGAACCACAGGAGCAGTATTCTCCAGGACACAGACATTGTCACTGCATTCACGCTCAAGTTGTTATATTGAACGAAGACAGGATATGTTATTTTGAGTGCGGATTTCTGTGGCATCAGCAATATATGTTGATGCGAAATATAGGACAAGAATTACCTTTTCCGACTGAACTGTTTTTGCTAGGCGACAAAACATATCCGAACTGATATCCAGTATTGACTCCTTACATAAGACAAACCCCAGAATATGCAGAGGAAGAGTAGAAAATTAAATAGAAATATTACACACTAAAGAGTAGAGGTTGAACACGCCATCGGAGATCGAATTAAAAAAAACACAAAGTTATGGGGCCTTTGTGGCAATTCACATCTGTTGTGACCATAAGTTTCTGTATTTGTGTGTCGTCGAAAAAGACTTATTTACATGAGAAAAAATATCATTTCATTTGACTATGTATCTCAATTGCGTTCATTATTTTTATTTTGAGAGGACCCCTTGTTTTTCATCAACTGTAATCGTAAGTCTTAAGTGTAATCCTAGGTATAGACCTAGTTTCCGCAAATGTCTATTACTGGTCATAAAATTATCTGTTTTTATTTTCCCCAAAATATAAATTCAACATTTTAAAATATGACAGTTTCCAAGTTTTCTTAAGTGTAACAAGGCTCAATCGTGCAAGCTAATGTTTTTGGACATCTGAAAGAATGACAGATTTGCAATATTTTGTAATTTTCGAATGATCTGGATAAAAAAAATAGCCTTGCCATACCATCTCTTCCTTTGATTCCTATATTTTGTCCGGTTAGCAGAATATCTATTATAAATAACATCATATGTTACAATTGCTATATTTTATAAATTTTATAAATTGCCAATTCTATCCTGAGATGTATATAGAATATGAAATAACAGAGTTGAGATCGACAATAATGATACTACATTGTAGAAGGGTCTAAAGGATAATCATGTCCTGCTTGGTGCACCAATCATACGTCAAACAGATAATACAATTAAATGAACATACTCCACATCCTTATTTTTCTATTATACATTCTGTATGTGCCTGTCCCAAGTCAGGAGCCTGTAATTCAGTGGTTGTCGTTTGTTGATGTATATCATATTTGTTTTTCGTTCATTGCTTTTTACATAAATCAGGCCGTAAGTTTTCTCGTTTGAATTGTTTTACATTAGTCATTTCGGGGCCTTTTATAGTTGAATATTCAGTATGGTTTTTGTTCATTGTTGAAGGCTGTACGGTGACCTATATTTGTTATTTTCTATGTCATTTGCCTCTGGTGAATAGTTGTCTCATTGGCAATCATACCACATCTTTTTATTTTGATAGTGATAACCATTTTGATCGACCACTGTAAAAAATACAAGATACCAAAGGAACATTCATATTTCTAAGAGAAACTGACAACGTCATCATGGTCATGGCAACAAACGAACGACAACGAAAAGACATACAAGTCCAAAAAAAAAAAAAACACACTACACAGCAAGTTAAAGCTGAGCAACACAAACCCAACCAAAACATGGGGTGATATCAGGTGTTGCGGGAGGATAAACAGCTCCTGTTTCACATGTGCCACCTGTCATGTACGTTGCTCATGGGAAGTACAAATTCGGTTATAAGTCTAATTCGATGATGTCACAGTCGTGTTAATGATCACGACAACTGGCATATATCCATAATCATCTGTGATACAGATATCCCATAATAGTCAACCAACTCGTGACGGCGTCAGTAATACTTTCGAATTTAAGTAAACGTTCATGTACTTTGACCTATATTGGTTTACTTTTATAAATTTTGAATTGGATGGAGAGTTGTCTCATTGGCATTCATACCACATCTTCTTATATCTATGTATTTATGAAGAGAATTTTATTGATTTCTAAAAGACTCACATATTATACTATTTATTCTAATTTATAATTCATAAGTAGTTTGTAACGTCCATACGATTATCCAACAACCGGTACAGACGCACTGAAAATAAAATAAACACAGTTAAAGAACACTGTTTATAACTTCTTTTTTCTAATCCAAAATCTAATAATACATGATTTTGCTTCATCGTCTAAGAGTATATATGCGTTACATTAATGTTGCATGCTTCATAAAAATTAGTTTACTAATTGTGTGTTTTTTTTCTTCTTGAATTAAATTAAAATTAGAATAAAAGCTTAAAGAAGACGAAAGATACCAAAGGGAACAACAGACATACAACAGCTGTTTTGTTCGATCGCGGGTGCTACGGAAGGATATGAAGATCCTGTTCCACATGTGTTGTGTAAAAACTCTTCCGTGTACACATAAGAACAATGCAACAAATAATTCAAGAACATCCTTCTTAATGCTACTTTAGATTATAACGAGAGAAAATGCATTTTTGTACCAATTGGGAAATGGAAGATTTAAAAACCACTAGTCCAAGACTTCATATGTAGTTCCTGGTTGAAAAGTACTGAAATTTTGAGTACAGTGGACGTCTTACAATTTCTAGTCGATGGTGCCTCAATCCAAATTTATATATTTACATGCTAGTGACAGTTTCTACGTGATAAATGTTCTGACATCACGACGATAGAGGTTATGAGATCCAATTTAGTAAATATACCCAACTTTGCAATGTTTTGATAGTGTCGCGTTGAAAGTTTTGGTCTCCGATTATACCTGCTAGATATTTCAGAAATCATACGCTCCCTTTTTCCACAATGACATACGTATACACTTAAACATTTTGCTATAAAAATTATTTAATTTTTTTTGAATTCTCACCTTTGTTGACAAATGAAGTTGTGACGATGGGAACATTTAATGTCATACCACGTGCCGCTCACATTTGGATTCTTATTATAAATCACTAGACAATCATCAGCCGAATTACTTCCTTGTCCTTGTCCTGGTGCCCAGTTAGAAAATGTAACTGTTTCCCCGCTAAATGCCCACTCCCATACTCCTTCCACAAACTCGTCTGATGCCCCGACGTAAAATATGCCTAAAAAAGTTCAAAAGTTTACATTTAGCTTGCTTTTAATTAAAGTAAAATGAAACAATTATATAATTATGTTTTGGTAGTGTATAGCAGGTATAGAACAAGACCTATATATTGGAATCTAAATCTCTATCTTTGAATAGCTTATATCAACCCTATATTAATACGTCTCTTTTTATTCTGTTGCTGTGTTGATGTCACATGCTGTGTTGATGTCACATGCTGTGTTGATGTCACACCAACGTTACCTACATGTGTGGATGATATTCCAATCATCAGTCAATTACAAATCCAAATTATCCTCGTCTCATGGATTTTCGTGCTATGAAGAATGCATTGTGACGTCACAATTTCCATTGAAAAAGCATGTATAGTACGAATTCATATGACGTACGAAAACATATGATCCGAGGCTGACCATAATATTCATCGATCTATATTTATATGTGTTGCACAACCGACTTAGGCTACCAGATTTTATAAAGCAAATCGTGAAAAAAAATCTGTCTATCTATAGGAAAACTATCTTAGAATTTGACATGTGCGATCAATGTAAAAAGTCTGGAATTCGAAATAACTTAAATCCGAAAACATGTTTCGCGCGGTCCCAAATAAATAAACTCATCATAGATACCAGGATTGAAATTTGTTACGCCGGACGCGCGTTTCGTCTACAAAAGACTCATCGGTAAAATAAATGATCGAACTTTTTGCCAGTTTGATCAATACACCTTATCGCTATTTATGCCAATCCGGATAAGTTCTAAAATTACACAACTTTTTCAAACCAGTTTAGGCTATCTTTGGCCTTGTTCAAGCAATATATTGTGTATAAAACTTTTCATAGAGACATGTTTAAACTATCGTAAACACATCAAACAAAGTATTTTTTAATGACTTTAATTTGTCTTGTAAACACTGCTTCATAAATTATAAAAATGTTTAATGGTTCACTTTCCAAACTTTTTCCTCCCTCAGCTCATTGCTGATGACCTTTGTTTTTGCAATATTTGACCCAAACAGGAAGTTGCCTAAATGGAATGGACCAAATAGCGATAGGTGTATACAAAATGCTGTGATTCCAGGCGTGCACCCACCAAATTGAAAAATGTACAATTAAATGTATATATTACATTGAAAAAATATGTAATCTAAATAAGAAGTCGATATCCCTTAGCTTATAATATAATAATAATTATTGAATATCTTATCAAATATAGAAAAATATCCAACGAGTGACCGAACAACAAATTAATTCACAGTTAGTTATCAGTGCTGTTCTGTCACGAGTTGAACATTCTAATTCTTGTATTAGATATTCTTTTTATTACATTGGAAATAAATGAAACTAGAGGCTCTCAAGAGCTGGGGTCGCTCACCTTGGTCTATATGCATATTCAACAAAGGACACTCTCCAACATTGCAGACGAGAATACAATTAATGACAAAAATCTCTGTTTTTTTTTATCTTATATTACTGATCATTGAAGTCTGTTTAGTTTTTCTCTATCACCATGATCTTATTTAGCTTTTGCTCCAAACACAAAAGAGGATAAAAACTCCTATAAAGAATAACAGTCTACAAAAAATATCAGCAAAATTTGACATGCTAGTATGTCTTGTCTTGCTTATCATTTTTGATTATTCAAGTTTCTATCTATCTATTATAATTTTTATCATATAAGGCAAAACGCCAAAAAAATTGGTAAAAATCGTAATTAAAGGGCAATAATTCCAATAAGGACAATTGGACAATTTCCGCCATATATAATAATTGTAGATCTTGTCTTGTTGATCATTTTTGTATATTTAAGTTTCTTTCTATCTATTATAAGTTTTAAGATATGACAAAAACGCAAAAAAAAAACAACAAATCGGCATCAAAGGGCAATAACTCTAACAAGGAGCCAATTGGTGATTTCAACCATAAGACTTATTTGTAGAACTTGTCCTTCTGATCTTTTTTGCAATTTAAAGTTTATCTTTTATAGTTTTCAAGATAGGCAAAAATCGAAAAAAAGTGGTAAAATTTGTCATTTAACGGCAATAACTCCTACAGGAAATCGTCTGACAGGTTTGACGTACATGGATAATTGGTAGAGCTCAACATTCTGAACAATTTTACCCCTTTCAGATTTCCTCTCTTTATAACGGTTATCAGAACAATAGACAAAACTTGCATTTTACCCGATATGTTCTATTTTTTGCCATGTCGGCCATCTTTGTTGGCAAGCAGGGTCATCGGACACATTTTTAAAACTAAATACCCTAATAATGATTGTGGCCAAGTTTGATTCTATTTGGCCCAGTAGTTTCAGAGGAGAAGATTTTTGTAAAAGATTACAAAAATTTACGAAAAATTGACTATAAAGGGCAATAACTCCTTAAGGGGTCAATTGAAAATTTTGATCATGTAACTTATTTGTAGATCTTACTTTGCTGAACATTATTGCTGTTTAAAGTTTATCTATATCTATAATAATATTGAAGCTAATAACCAAAAACTGCAAAATTTTCTTAAAATTACCAATTCAGGGGCAGCAACCCAACAACGGATTATCTGACATGTCTGATAATTTCAGGGCAGATAGATCTTGATCTGATGAACAATTATCCCGTGTCAAATTTGCTCTAAATGCTTTAGTTTTAGAGATATAAGCCAAAATCTCCGGTTTACCCCCATGTTCTATTTTAGCCATGGCGGCCATCTTGGTTGGCGGACCGGATCGTCGGACAAACAAACAAAATCATGAACATCTGATTTGCATGCGTCATTAAATTCACTTATGACGCATGATATAAATATGTTGATGATGCGAACAATACGCATGGTTTTGTTTTTCCCTTGCTTTATTTTTCATTTATTTTGTGTTTTTTTCTCCATTTGATTTGAAATTGCTTTACATCTTTTTGGTCCTTTTTTATTTGGACGCCTAATTACATGTACCATCGATATATGCTGGACATCAAATAAAAATTCTTGAAACTAGATACCCCAGTGATGATTGTGGCCAAGTTTGGTTACCTTTGGTCCAGTAGTTTCAGAGGAGAAGATTTTTGTAAAAGTTAACGGCCGACGGACGCCAAGTGATGAGAAAAGCTCACTTGGCCCTTTGGGCCAGGCGAGCTAAAATGATAGGAACTATATCTTTTTCTACCTTTTTTCAATCGTATTTGTCGTCCTGAACATGTATAAAATATTTGCCACTGGACGTTTACATGTAACAACCAACAAGTGATCAATCAATGGTATTGATGAAACGTCATCGACGACTACTTGACAACACACATTTGTTTATGACGTCAGAGGAGTAAAATTATCAGATTTATTTCACGTGAAGTTATCGGTTTTTATTTCACTGGGAAATCACAGTAATTTTCATTGCAACCAATGTAATATTTTACACTACCATCATGTCCTTTTAGTTTATTGTCTATCCAATTACTGACTTCCTTGGACTGAATCAAGGCTAAAACTGAGTTATGTTCTCTACATTTTCCCTGAAAACAATAATATTGAACATGTATATAGCTGCATATTTAAAAAAATGGTCATACATGGAGAAAATACATATATCTAAACCGATACCAGTTCAAATATCGTGTCCGAATGCAAACTGACAATCATATGACAAAAAAAGTTATAGACGAAACTATTAATGATAATACTAATCATAACATCTATATATATACAGAGAGTAACTCATTTTGATTAAATCAATTTTCAATGGGGATCTGTAGATACAATATTTACTACATACATAAAATATTGACATGAGAAAAAACAACAATGGTATCATTCATGAATGTAAAAGAAATAAAATCGTGTCGCGGGTAGTATGCCACGTATGATATACGCATGAAGCTACTAAAACCGAAAAACATGCGTATATAATGAACAAACCATGCATGTGTAGTAGTATCTGTAGTATGCGTGAATCGCATGATCTTTACAATGGTTTTGACAACTATTTTAACATGCGTACTGTAAACAAACAAAATCATGAACACCTGATTTGCATGCGTCATTAAATTCACTTATGACGCATGATATAAATGTGTTGATTATGCGAAAAATACGCATGGTTTTGTTTTTCCCTTGCTTTATTTTTCATTTATTTTGTGTTTTTTTTCTCCGTTTGATTTGAAATTGCTTTACATCTTTTGGTCTTTTTTTCTTTGGACGCCTAATTACATGTACCATTGATATATGCTGGACATCAAATAAAAATTTATGAAACTCATGAATATTGAATCCACTCAACCTGAAAAATACACTTATCTTTTGTATATCTCAAAGTACTTTTTAGCAATAACGTTTTTACTTACCGATGCCTGATACCAATCCGTTGTATATGAACTGAAGTAAAAGCATGAATGTCCGTGATATACCCAGTGGTTCTGACATTGATAAAATACCAATCCGCATAAACATGCTAAAATAAAAAGAAATTTGAAAACGTAACATAAGAATAAGGAGATTTGTATATGAGACAGTTATCTATCAGAGTCCAAATGACGTGATTGTTAACAGCTTTAGGTCACCGTACGGCCTACGATAATGTTCAAAACCCAAAGCGTATAGTCGGCTATAAAAGGTCCCGACAGGACAAAACACTTACCGGTATGAGAGACGACAACTAACGACAAAAATGAGTTACAGGCTCATAATGCCTACATGAAGACACGTCTCAACAATGTTTGCATTGTTGGGGTACAATGGCGTGCCTGAATGGGCAAAAATGACAACATATTAAACTGAGTAAATTTCTTCTTTATGGTATGTGAACAATAAAATAATAATACAGGAGCCATAAGCCGTTTCAGGATTTAATGTATTCTGGTTAATATTTTCAAAAGCAAACGCCAAAACACTGTGATTGGCTAGCAACCTTCAAAACAATTGAAATTCATCCAATGGCCTGACGTTATTTTTAATTTAGGGTACGAACAATGAAATTACCCATGGTTCATTAGATTCTCAACCGGCGAATTCTATAAAATTCCGGAAGACGAATAAAGCTCTAGTATCGAATTGTAGCATGTTTTTTACTTTGATGTCCGGTTGCTAAGTCGTCGTTACACCACTAATTTTACATCAAATACACAGCCGTGCTTTTTTGTGATCATACTAAGGCTAATATGAGGCTGTGTCTATTTTGGATGATGTATTAAAACTAAATAAAATAAAATTGTAAACATACCTGTTACAACTATATTCAGTAATCTATACATGGCAATCATTCAAACTTGATAAAAAGTTCTTTTCAGGTCAAGGGCAAATCACAGTATGATTTTATCAGACAAAGTCGGATTGGAACTTAGATTTCTGTTCAATTTTTAGCACTATTCAATTCGATTTAGAAAAATGCTACGACGCAGATAATAATAACCATTCGATTCGGTAGACATATCAATATGGCGTAAGAAGTTGCATTTCTTTCTTTTGTCTAAATGTTTGGTGCTAATTTCAAAACGCACGATTTGACTGCGTTTATATACATTTCACTCAGCCAACAGACGTGACTGCGTATTTATAAATCCCACACAGCAAAACGGACGCGATAGCGTACATTCATTCTACACAACAAAACGGAGGTGACAGGGAATTTGTACATCCAGCACAGTTAAACGGACGAAATCTATAGCGAATTTATATATCCACACACCCAAACGGACGTGACAGGGAGTTTATACTCCCCGCACAGCAAAACGGACGGAATCTATAGCGAATTTGCACATCCACACAACCAAACGGACGTGACAGCAAATTTTTACAATCCACACAGACAAACGGACGTGACAGCGATTTAAAACAACCCACACAGCCAAACGTACGTTACAGTATACTAATGCATCCAGCACAGCCAAACGGATGTGATTGCGAATTTGTTCATTATCCCACAGCCAAACGGACGTGACTTCGAATTTATACACTCCACACAACTCAGTCGAACGGACGTTACAGCGAATGTATACATCGCACACAGTCAAACGAACCTGACTGCGTAGACATATATATTCCACACAGCAAACCGGATGTGACTGCAAATTTATACATTTCACACAGCCAAACGAATGTGACTACCAAATTTTACATTCCACACAGCCAATAAACTTATGATCGTTACCAGGCTAAAATTCAGTACGCCAGACGCGCATTTCGTATACAAAAGACTGATCAGTGACGCTCGAATAAAAAAAAGTTGTATAGGCAAATAAAGTACGAAGTTGAAGAGTATTCATGAGCAAAAATTTCTCTGCAACAGGTTTTGATGCTGGATTAGAGGAAAACCTGGAGACAACATTTTTTACACAAGCTATGCCTTTTGGTAGTGTGTGTGAAAGCAAGTAAAATTTAAATTCCGAAATTAATGCGTTCCTTCTATTTGGCCCAATAACACAGTTATTTCGTAGTGCATGTCTTTAAGACAATAAATACAAATTTATAAAATTGCACCTGCTCTATCTCAATAAGATTTTTGCAGTATAGTGTTCTACTTTTTGGACAATTTATATCACAGTTATAGAAATTTTACCAGCTCTATCTCTAAATATGGACCATTTTATGATAAGGATATCTTCCCTTTTTACCTCAAATTTGTTTACACGTAATTTCATCCCCCTACTTACTATTTTATGCATAAAATATATGAAAAAATAATTGAAGGTGAATGAATACAGTCCACACTAGGGACTATATTCGTATTCAAAGGACAATAATTGTGTCCCCGGACCATTTATGCGAAGCATGCAACATTTCAAATATCACCTTAACTTGAGCTTGCATTTTCGTTTTGTCACTGATTTTCTTCAACAATTTATGTTGCTCTATCCAAAAATTTGTTAAGATCTATCTATCCCAAAGTTGTATGTTGTTTACAACAAAAACAGGCGGTAAATTATGAGTTCGTACTCTATACATTTGTTGCTTATAACTACGATTTTAAGAGACAGAGAGGAATTAAACCCAAAGCAATCAAAATCCATAATTATCTAAATAAATAATCGCATTAGTTCGTGTTTTGAAAGGTAGATTTCTTTTATCACTGCCCTCAACTATTTATACTCTCCAGTTTCACTCGTTATTGCAAACGGATCAAGAATCGTGTTACACTGATGGGATGAGAACTAAATGTCTTCCTATCGTTCACCTCCAAGTCTGATCTTCGGCTGAATGATGGCAATCTTAGAGTTTACAATATTATCTCTGTCATAGTGATTTCATACTGTTGTTTTCCATTCGTTTGATGTGTTTGAGCTCTTAATTTGTCATTTGGTAAAGGACTTTCCGATTTGAATTTTCCTTGGATTTCGGTATTTTTGTTATTTTACTTTTTTCATAGGACCATCATTGAAATCACTAATTTTGACGTAAATTTATTATTCAGAAGACGAACTTCCATTTTTATCCTCAAATATATCTTGCCTTACCAAATTTTTAAACTTTGTACTCTGATGTATGCTGACGAAATGTCTTGATCATACTAGTACTAAAGAACTTGGTTTTTCTCGGCACTAGTGTAAAGGCTCACGAGAATTAAGAATGAACGCTGTCATTTCAATTATCTATCTGACTGTGCATGTGAAATCTCATGTACACTGAAGCTAGAACACTTCCTGTTGTCTTTATCTACTAATTATAGTGTCACGTACCGGGGGTACGAAACTGCTTTACTGCTTTCTAAAAGCAACGGATTATTAACTATATACTGAGCCAGTGCTTTACTTGTAGCCACTGCTTTATATCTACTTGACTTGGGCCAGTGCTTTACTTGTGGTAACTGCTTAATATTTACTTTATCTGGGCCAGTGCGTGTGTTGGACTGTTTGGACTGAGTCACTACTTTGCTCGTATTCAATGTTTCACCGTCTGGAAATGCTTTACCTTGTATACAGCCAATGCTTCTTCAGCAGCTATAATTAATTAATCACTTGGTTCCTTATTCAGGAACACTGCTTATAATTCTTATTCAGAACTATACTTTAATCTCACCTTTATTCTGTCTCTTGTTAATAATCCAACTGCTCGGCTTGAATTCTAAACCCAGAACAACGTGAACTGTGAAAACCTTGGTATATATAGTAAATTGTAGACTCGTCCATACAATAGACTATTCCAGAAACGACTTTATCACTTAAACGTTTTACAACACCTCAGCATATATGATATAACAAAGCACTATTGTGACGGTTATATACTTTGTAACAACTGATCATGATCTTGGGAATTCCGGATTTATAGGTCAATTCCTGACCCAAAAACAATTACTAATCACCCAGTAAAATGTAAACAAATCGAAAGTGAAAGTAAAACAATGTGTAAATAAATGAAGGGAATGAATGATATTTCTTTCTGTTGGACTTTACAAATGGATTATCAAATAAGCAAGAACCAGGTAAGTTTGCAAATTCATCACATTACCCACGCCTCCAAGAAATGCGTCCCGGCATTTACCAAAATCAATTGAGCACATCTACATCGAGTGGACATTTTGCAGTCCCAAACTCTACCCGGGCATTGCCTCGAGCCATGTCATTCAAAAACCACAATTCTCAATATCATTAAACAACTGTTACTTCTTCAGTAACTATTTACTAAAACAACTGTTACTTATTCAGTAACTAACCACTAGAACAACTCGTAGATGTATAATCTACCCGACATGACAAGATTCCCACTCAACTGTTTACTATTACTTAACATGGGCATCAACTTTATAAGTTAACTTTATCCTAAGAACCCTTTAATTGTTCCATCTGTATTTCAAATATGCATGCTGACAGATTTTTGAACAAGTAATTTTGACCATGAAAACCAACAAGCCAAATAGTACATTTGAAAACCACCGAAAATATCACAAAGCCAAAACCTGGTATGAAATAATTTTGCCTAACAACCGGCCACTTATGGACCACTCAAAGAGCTTGTTGAGAGGGATCTTTTACGTGCACAAAGCGTAGTACTCCTTGAACACGGGACCTCGAATTTAACGTCCCCATCCGACGGACATCATTATTATATATTCAAAGAAACAAGGCATTATATATAAACAATAAAACACAAAAGTTTTCATAATTCTTGGAAATCTTTCTCCTTTAACAAGTAACTAAATATCTGTATTGTCTGTTCCTCGCAAACATTCACTTGTATATAAATCACACAATAAAGCTATCGAAATACGTATCCCGTCGGACTGATTACTGAATAGTTCTGTCAAGCCTACCTGGCTATGGTATTTGTATGCTTATTACATCAAATGTCACTTCATCTTTTCCATATTTCAGTTTCCTCTACATCTTTACCGTTTTCCTTGTATCTTTTCACCACTCTTCTCTCAACCAGCATCAACCCAGAGGTTGCCACTGGCCTGACAACCTGTGCTGGTACATGGGTTGGGATGGTTCCGGTCGTAGTTGTCGTAACAGTTCCTACGTCCATAGGCGAGGACGAGAACAACAACGGTGATGGGTTTGACATGGAACTTTCATCCGAATCAGTATCAACAACTCTCGGTATTAGAAACGAGCTTGGCACAGAAGGTACTATAGTTGCAGTTGTGGTTGGCAACCTAGGTAATACGAATCTCTTGGAGGCTATTGGCTGTGGTCCCAACGAACGCCTTAAGGTATCTAGAAGCCTCTTCCTTGAAGAATTGGCCACCAGTAGAGGAGACGTGCTCTTCCTGACTACTCTGCCCTTGATAAGTGAGCCTGTAGCCATCACTGATATGCTTGTTGTGCTGGTCTTGGATTTCGAAGGTTCTCCAAGTACATCAGATAGGTTGCCTGGATTCTGTTTCTCCCATTCACTATCGGTATCATCAATGGCTGACAAGGATGCTGCATGTCTCCTCCGCTGATGCCTCGTAAAGTCACTCTTCCTGCTAGTTGCATACGGACACAGATCACATAAGTACTCTTCCTCTGACGACCTTTTCTTTACACGTGCTAGAACATGATCCTCTAATTCCTTCTCTGTGATGAATCGTACTTGGCAAACTGGGCACCTCCATCTTGCCCGTGGTGTCTTCTTTGTGTTAGCCATCTGTAATTTAAGAGAAATCATTGTAAATATATACATGTATATACAAAATTATATGTTATGTACAGATATACTCGTTCATTCATTTTGTTTTTTTTTTTTTTTTT